CTCTGTGTTCTACTTCTAAGCACTTGCTATTTAGGCTTTTATAATAGGCTTTAGGTTTAGTAAGAGTTTTTGTTTAAAAATAAGTTTATATTAGTTTATAAACTTAGCTTTAGCTTCTAATTTATAAACTGCATTAAATGCCTAAACTTTTTCTATTTTAATTAACTGTAGCACGGCATTCTCGGTCGGTGCGTAAGTATTTAAAGTAATATTTACTAGTAAAAGTAATTTTATTTAAGCAAACTTAATATACTTAATAAATTATTTTTTAATTGTGTAGACTTTTTCTTAATTAGCTAGGCAAAAGTCCTTTATTATTGCATTTGCATAGTAGTAAAAAATATTAAATATAATAGAATAAGCATGCTTTACTTTAAAGCGTTTATTAAGGGACTAAAACAGTTCTAGTATAGTATAGTTAGCTCTAGCGGCATATATATCTGCGCTTTTAACTATGCCTTTTTTTAGTTTTTAGTTTTAGTTAGCAATATATTTATAAACAAGCTTGCCTTTAGGCATATTAAAAATAGTATTAATAATTATTTTATCTATAGCCTAGTTATTTTTAATATTGCGCTGCTTATATATATAGGGACGTTTCTAAGTTTGTTCGCGTTAGCTAGATATAAAAAATTACTAAAAAATTTTTTTAAGTGCTTTTTTACTAGTTATAGTTGCAAATACATTTTTAAACTTTTTTTTTAAATTCTTAGATCCTAGTGTGCTTCCTGCAATTTATAGAGCTTTTTTAGTGTTTAAAGCCTTCTATTTACAGGCTAAAATCCTGCTAATAGTTTTTTACTTAATTTAATTTTTATTTCTAGCACTAATTTAGTAAACAATTATTTAAAGGGATAACTACAACTTTAGTCCTTTTCTATAGCCTGCACGCTTAAAAATTAAACTGTTGCTATTATATAATAAAACTCTTAGTTAGGTAAGGAATTAATACTAAATCTTAATATTATTATATTTTTTTACTACATTATTAGTAGCAATAAAGTAAGTTATATACTCTAACTTAAGTAATAAGCAAACTTTATATACTAATATACTCCTTTTTGCATCTAGATACACCTTAAGCAGTATAGTAACAAAATTCTAAATCTTTTTATTTATAATATATAGATGTATATAATTGTTAAATCTAGTTTTTAAAATTTTAGTTGCGACTGCCTTGTAGTTAGTTAAAAGTAAAAATATCTAGTAATTATTAAGTATAGTATATTTACTATTTGCTACAAAGGCAGCTTTAAAATTTTAATTACTATTATTGTCTAATTTATATATAGATGCTGCATTTTTATTAACTACTTTTGTCGCGTCCTAATTATTATTATTTAAATTATTATTAAACATAGGATATTGCTTGCGTTTTAGGGTAGGAGTAGTAGCTACTTATATTATTAATAAGGCTTTAGCAGTTTCTAAATAAAGTAATATAAATTATTATGCCTTATTTTTGCTTAGCAAGGGCATATTTGCTCTAAGTCCTAGTAGTAGAGCTAAATTTTTGTTTACTATAATAGAAGTAGATAAAGGGCCCCTTTAAGAAAGTTTCTTAAAAAAGTCTAATAGCTAGAAAATATAAGCTATTAAAGTTATATACGCTAGGTTTTAGCTTTATTAATCTATTCCCTTACTTATTTAAAGGGTTAATAGAAAGTTTTCCTAGTTTTAATAGTAGAGTAACTTATAAGGCAGGGTAATTTAACTTGCAACTGCAACTGCTAACTATAGTTATTAGTAGTTTTTACTACTATAATAATTAAATTTATAAATTTACTTAGGCTAACAATTTGTATACAAAAGTAAAAAGCGTTTATAATAAAATTAGTAGCAGTTTAGTAGTAGTAGTAGTAGTAGTAGTAGTAGTTAAAGTAAGTGTTAATTGTTTAGAAGTAGCTAAAAGCTATAACTACTTTTTAAGCTAATTTTAAGTACGCTAGTAGCTTAGGCTAGTTCTTTAATTAAAGAAACTTTCTAAAAGCCCCCTAAAATTATAGCAATAAATAATATCCTAAAAGTTAAGTGCCTGTTAGTATAAGTATTTATAACTTTATCTTTACTTTAAAATATAAAATAGTTTTAACTTATATACAGAGTCTAAACCTATAAACAGGTATAAAAATAAGTATATAAGTATAAGTACTTTGCAAAGTATATAACAAAACTCTATAGCACTCTTAATTATATATAAAGGGCTAGTAAACTTTTCTAAATTGCAGCATAGATGCCTCGCATAGTGCTTAGTAAATCTAGTATATACTTAACTATTTATAAGGGGGGAATTAGTAAACTTTTTTAAATTTCTCCTTATTTACCTACGCGCAGTTCTTAGTATATATAGTATATACTTAATTATCTATAAAAATTTGTAATATAGGTTTTTATTTTATATACTATTACGCGCGCAGTAAACTAAAATACTACTTATTATGTGCGCAGTAGACTAAAATGCTACTTATTGCACGTATAGTAAACTAAAATGCTGCCTATTACGCGCGCAGTAAACTAAAATACTACTTATTACGTGCGCAGTAGACTAAAATACTACTTATTATGCACGTAGTAGACTAAAATGCTGCCTATTGCGCGCGCAGTAGACTAAAATGCTGCCTATTATATATATAGTAGACTAAAATACTGCTTATTGCGCGTATAGTAAACTAAAATGCTGCCTATTACGCGCGCAGTAAACTAAAATACTACTTATT